TTTATGCAATAAAATAAGTATAAATAGTACATAGTATTAAATATGGTGTATTCAAGCACAAACGCCTTGATAATCTCGAAAACTAAGTAAATGTAAAAAATCACTTGAATTTGCGTTTCCATTTTATTCGAAAAACACATTTTCGAGTTATTATTTTTTTTAGTATAAAATAAACTAAATACGCAGAATTACGAGAGTAATTCTAACTGTTCGCTTCACAGAAAAAAAAAAAAGTGTAGGAATTTTTTTATTACAAATGCAATTTTAAATGCGGTAGAACCTCGATAATCCGAAATAATTGGGACTGAAGGTAGTTCGGAACAACAAAAAGTTCGGATTATCAAACATTGCTCACACAAATTCCAGGTTTCAGTAATTTAAGGCCTGAAACCAAGGCCGGATTAAGGGAGGGCTACGGGGGCTGTAGCCCCGGGCCTCACGAGATCGGGGGTCTCGGCAAGATCTGCCAAATTTTTGTTTTTTTTACAATCAAACCAAAAAGTGTTTTGACATTTTATATCGACAAGTTGCTGATTGCGTGACCTTTTTTTTAAGAATCAAAGACGCGTCGTTCGGATTACCGGATTCTATTGTACAATGCAATCACGAAAAGTAGAAATTTTCCCCTTACTATCCCTTAAAAAATCTCTACGCTAACGTTCTTTTTTATTATTAACGATTTGTATAGTCTTTCCAGTCTCAATTGAAGAATCAGGAGATGAAATATTTAATAAACTTGTTCCCATATTTATTAGCCATATCTATATATAAGTCTGGTCGCCCAGTTGAAGAACGAGCGCGCGGGCAAACGCGCCACAAACACAGCCGCACTGGGCGACCTGACCATAAATTAAGTTGTCAACAAATAGCCTAGCAGTGCAGTGCAGCAATGCGGAATTTGGTCTGATTCAGGTAATTTTAATTTATTATAGGCACCTTCTATTAATCATTCATATTACAATTGAGAAAGAGAGAAATAAGAGCTATATTTTGTTTACTAATTTACCATCAATATATGTAATAAAATTGTTTTAGGACATAAATAATTAAAATCTAATGAACATATAATAGAAATTTTCTACACATTATATACAAATTATTATAATTTTTTACCTTTAGCAGAAAACTTTTTTAGGGACGCCTATGAAACCCATTAAATTTTATTCCTACGTGTTTTTATACATGTTCAACTGACTTCGGAAGGACTATACATGTATTATTTTATTTGCGGTGATTTTTTTCAGAATTTAGTTCGTGTATGATAATCGGATTTGTAATTTAGGCCTTTCGAATTAGTGGGGAGGTTCAGATTACCGGAGTTCGGATTATCGAGGTTCTTACTGTACAATGCAATCACGGACAGTGGAAATTTGTCCCTTAGAAAAATTTTATTCTTATTGATTACATTGTATTTGAAATTGTACTTGCAACAAAAGATTGCTAGAAACGTTTATATATTTTTTTTATTCAATTTTGTAGTAAGCATATTTTACACTAAAAAAATCGAAAATTGCTCGTTTTACGAATAAAATGGAAGAGATAATTTTCCTTTTAAATACAATTGTGAATCAAATGTCCACCATTGGTAGATATAATTGTACAAAAATTCATATAATTTTATTTTCAGTTCATTATTACCCACGTGGATCAAAAATAAAAATAATAATTAAAATTTCTTAATTTTTAAATAAGCATTTTTTTAAACAAAATTTTACTCGACCCCAAGGTCATTAGCAGCGATGAATCATCATTTCGCTTGTTCAGACTGTACATTACATAGGTGTAAATTTGTCGCCTGCTAGGTTATCAATTGTTATATCGTTCCACGCCGTAAATTTGGATATTCCTGTGAAATAAATGATATCAGACTGACATATGTCCTGATTAAACGTTATAATTACATTGTGGCACTTGTTTTGTGAAGTGGCTGCGCCATTTGTATATGGATAATGTTTACACCCAAATATTAATAATAATCCCGTCCCATTTGTTTCATTGCTGCGGGCACATCCGAGATTGGAATCGGATGTTTACACTATCTTTTATATTCCTTTATTAACATCCGATCTAAATGAACACACTCAAAATAGAAACATAGTCAGTACCTAAAATAAATAATAAAATATAGAAAAAGGAGGGGACGCACAGTGGCGACGCGTTTTAAATTTCTGTGGGGTTCCAGGATAAAATTTCTTTTTGTTATCGCGTAGCGACGAGCCGCCGCTGGAAAAATATCGCGATCCAAAGCCACGTCGGATTCGAGGCACAGCCTACAGGCATTATCATCTTGCCGGTCTGTTGGCCAGGTGTAAACACAATGATTATTATCAGAAACCGGCAAATAGATTAAGTCAACCATCTCGTGTTTGCATCACGTGATAGCGTAAACATTCCGGGTCAACAATTCGGTGCTGGCGGTGTGGCATGAGGAGAGTGCAGATATCACTGTTTACATTTGGAATTATGGTCGAATAGGTAAACCTGATGAGGACGTGAATTGATCAGCATGCCGGACGTCTCTTAACGCGAGCGTTATCGCCGGCGACAATTGCAAGACGGCGGTTAGCACATCGGATTGGGCGGTCCGCACCGAGTGATTGTGAATTTGACTTTTTTTGTCGGAAATAAGTAAAACCGTTGCTCGGTGTGTCGTACGCCACTGAGAAAATCTAATTTATCTAATTTTTAATTTTCTAGTATTAGCACCTTAAAAAATATGGAAACTCCTACGCCCATGATTTTTCAAAATTTTGATGCATTACGTTGTATTTAGAAATTTCAAAACCCACTTTAATATTAAAAAAATAGAAATCTAAGTCTGTTGTTCTTAAAATAAACTGTAGAAGATATATTTTTCTGAAAAATTCTATATGTATAACAAAAAACAAAGAAAATATTATGAGGTATTATTTGTAACGATAAAGAGCTAAATTGTCATTATCAATTACAACAACATTAAAAGTCTGTGATTAAAAGCAAGATATATATCTCCAATGTACTAAAAAAGTTACAGTAAAATAAGGAACTCAGATCCTTATGTTGTTGCTAAACTGTTGCTAGTACCAGAAGTAATCAACACAAACTATTATGATTATAAAGATGGGTATTGGCAATAAAGATAACTGATAAAAGTCAGAAACCAAATCGCGGGACTTAGATACATGGTGAACATAACATTAATTATTTAATAATCTTTGCGCAACAAGATCATTTAGAAATGAAAGAAACTGTAGGGGTTCCAGAGTTAAGCCCTGTGGCACCCCGTATGTTGCACGAAACCTAACGATTTAATCATATGAAAAACGTTGAAATAGAAAATAATAGGTAATTAAATTAACATTGAACAGATTTAAAAATTTTTCAACTTGTCAGTTTGAATAGAAAACTGAACGGCATGAATGTATGTTACCTAAATTACTGACAGTCTTTTACATTTTCGGCCTTGGACTGTCCAATATAAAACCAATCGTTGACCGCAGATGAAGAAATTGTAAAATTTGTAGCAAGAAATTTGCGCAACGATACCATTTATGAATGAAAAAACTTCAGTGGTCTGAGATCTGAGCCCTGTGGCACCCCCTATGTCACATAAAGACTACTGAACAGTTGTAAGAGGTATTTGCTAGTGGTAGGTAATACTAAACAAATCATAAAACCGTTTAATCGCGTTCAAAACGTTTATCTAATCAATGTTTTTATTTTTTGAATCCGACAAATTGAATAGAAAATTGAATCTATGATAAATTGACGGCCTTTTCCAGCCTAAATCTGTTCATATTTTACATCTAAGGTTTTTAATAATCCTATATAAAATATGTGTAAGAAATTGACTCAACAAGATCATCTATGAATAAAAAAAATGCAATGTCCCAAATTGGAACCCTGCGACACCCCATACGTTGCACGAAAACTACTTAACTTATAACCGTTGTAAAAAGTTATTGCTAGTGGGCTAAACAAATCAAGAAACGATTTAATCACATTTAAAACGTCAAAAGAGAATGGAACACAGATTTTTAAATTGTTAAACATAGCAATTTGAATAGAAAATTGAAACAAATTATTGACGGTCTTTTCCTGTCCAAATTTTATGTCTTTGGTTCTGAAATCCTGTATAAAATCAGTCATTGCCCTCAAATGAAGAAAAAGCGAAATTTGTAATAAGAACTAGATCGTTTATGAATGAAAGAAAATGCAGTGGACCTAGATTTGGGCCCATAGGCTCCCCATATGTTGCGTGGAAACTACTTCAATTGCAAACGTTGTAAGAAGTGTTTGTAAAGTATTTATTAGTTTAAACTGTTTAAAGATACAGAAGTATTTTGGAATGAAAGAAAATGCAATGATCCCATATGTTGCGTGAAAATAAGTGTTTGTAAAATGTTTGTTAGCGAACTAAACAAATCACGAAACGATTTAATCACATTTAAAACTTCGAAAGAGAAAAGAAGACAGATTTTTAAATTGTTGAATATAACAATCTGAATACAAAATCGACACTGCGTGAATACAGATTATCGACAGACTTTTCCAGTTCAAATTTTCTCAGGATGTATGTCTTTGATCTTGATTAGTCTTGTAAAAAATCAATCGTCTCAAATGAAGAGTTTGTGAGAAAAAGTAAAATTTGTAACAAGAACAAGAATTATGAATAAAATAAAATGCAGTGGTCCCAGATTTGAACCCTGTGGCATCCTATATGTTGCGTGAAAACTAAGAAGTGTTTGTAAGTAGTAAGTAGAACTAAATAAATTACAAAACGATTAAATCACTTTGGAAACGTTGAAAGAGGAAATATAGATATCTTATCAAATTGTTATCAAGCAAGGCAGATTTTTAAATTGTCCATAGCTAAATTGTTTCATGCTTTAAGTGTTCGATCTTGAATAAAATCGATCATTACCCTCACCTGATTGTAGGAAGAGGTAAATGGACGAATGTGAAGGAATATATACATATGGATATGTGAGAGATTTTGTTGATAATATGCGTGTACTTACTACTGCTAAGGCGATCTCTCCAGGCGATGGGGTTGAGTCCTTGGATTCCGGGCCAGTAGAGTCCCCCGGTGCTCCTGCCCAGTTCTACGGGCGGTTTATTTACCGAATTGGCGGCGTGATGATGAAAGAAGGCAGCGGCGGCAATATTGAATCCTCTGAGCCCCGAATTAGACGCACTCTGTGAGCTATTGGAAGCCATCCCCAAGGTGTTCTGCGTGAACCCCAGGTTATGGGGAAAGTGGAGAGGCCCGGTAGTGATCTGGGTGGGTCTGGATAGAATATGGTCGATACCGTGGGGGTTGGCCCCTTGGGAACTGTTACTGTTGCTAGTGGCACCTAGAGGACTGCGCGACGTCAAGCCTGAGCGTTCTACGTGTAAACTTGTACGTTCTAGCAAGACGTCCGCGTCGCTCTTTTCTTGGTGCATGTGATCGGGGCTCAGATGGGTCTGGTGCTGCTTCATTTCGGTCATGGAGTGGAGCGCGGCCAACGGGGCGGCCAGCATGTTGCGGTGCTCCAGGTTGAGGAAGCTCAGGTTCTGCTGGCTGGCGAATTCGAGCATCTTCGAGACTGGCGGCGGTGGGGTAACGGATACTTCGGACCGGTCACTGGACGCGTCGCTATGCTGCGTCATTGCTATTGGAGACGCCGTGGTTGCAGCTGTGGACGCGAACGTCGCGTCGCTATTGTCCTCGCCGATGTACTGGTGCACTACACGTGGCGACCCACACTGCACATCACAGTCACTTGCGTCTCCACCCGGTGGTGCAAATTGTTAAAATCTTAGATCTAAAGGAGCGTGTTCCAATCACCAGTCGGTTGACAATGAACTGAACTGGCGCTGGAAGACTATGCACTCGCCGGCTCGAGGTGAGACCGGTGGGCGGACTCGCAAGGTGAGCTAGTGGGGATGTCTATAAACTGAACTGCATGTTAAATATGTGCTACTGGGAAGCTCATTACGGTGGCCTCTATGGCAGTTAGCGATTCGGTGCGTGTCGCCTAGCTGCGTGGTTGCACTCTGCTCTATTTTTAAAAGAGATTAATGCTTTTTTCATTGGTAGGGGGGAGGAGTGTGGAGTCGGGGGGGCGCACGCCATTGGCGCGGACGCCCGGCTCGGGTGACGCCCGCCATTGGTCGATAGCCCGCCCTACCCCTTCCGGATTCGTATTATCGCAGTATACATGGAACTCAATCTGTAAGGAGGTATTTTACTAGCATAAACATGTTAGCGGTGGAAGGGAACTTTGACTAGTTGACTGCCTACCTAAACCGATCCCGCAAACGAATATTCCCTTCAGATCACAATTATCATCTTAACAATTACGTCACGGCATCCCTAATTGAATCTTTACTCAAAACAATCAAATCATCTCGACCACAAAAAATAATTCCTTTAGACGGCATAAGCCACTGAGCAGAAAAATTAGAAGTCTACTAAAAATTTAACCAATCTTTCAGTTATACAGGGGGAATAAAAAATGCTAAAACCCTAGGAATCCCAGACTCAAAACGGAATTAAATTTTCTCTTCACAAAAAAACGCCTCGCTCGCATGTAGAATTTATTCCTGTCAGATTGTTGCTAAATTTGAATCCCGTGATTTACGATTTAACAATTAAGTCGGTTTTGGCGCGAAAACGTTACAAATTGGAGATTTCCTCCGAATATATCTGCCTGAAAAAATGGAGATCAGGATGGAATAGCAAAGTGTGTAAGGCACCATCTATCTAGTCTCGACCCGAATGTTTTAACGCTCGACAAGGATATCTAGATGGGTGATGACCATTTGCACCGACGCATTTCGTTCCTTGATTGATATGCGTGGCCCTGCGAAATTCAGTTATTGGGTTAGTTCCCAAAGAATTAAACAATAAATAGTAAGTTTCTAATCAAGTTGTTTTAGATATATTTTTAAATGCATTATCTCCAAATTTTCTGTAAATTACGGATCTAAGTATAATAAGTGTTATTGGAAAGGTCACGGGAATATCAAAAATCAGAAGGTTTTGTGTTTGATAACCCAACAAAAAAGCAGTTAAAATCAATAAAAAACATCGAAAAAGCGACTAACTCAACGGAAAATCATCAAAACCAAAGTAAAATTATCTAACTAATGATACAATGTAATGCTTCGCATCTTTCCCCTTCGTATAGCATGCTTGTACACCATAAATCCCCTCCCCCACCGGTTTATAGGAATGTCTATTATGTTGTAGTGAGTAAAATGTTATCCAGAAAAAAATTCTGTATTCTGTATCATATACAAATTCGACAATGACGACACACAAACACATAGTCCGTCACTGAACACTGAATTAAATAACTTATAACACTTATACTGCACTCCTGTAAAATCGATAGCTTACGTATGTACGTGCCGTGTCAACGTTAGGCAGTTTTAGTTCGGCATATTTGGCATCTTGCTATCGCGCTAACGGCCGGGTCCCAGTAGGCGCGTTTCAGGTAAACTCTCTTGGTGCAAATGTCGGGATTCCGGGCGGGATCAGGCTAAAAGCTGTGGATGATGTTAATGGAGGAAGGCGGAAGTGGCGGCCTCTAAACTGAAGATAGAACTACTCTGCATATCATTAATCTTAATTAAAGTTAAATTTAGTTATCTTGTATGGAGGCCGGTGTCTATTCGGCCGCCGTTTCTCGGAAGCATGCGTTTCTTCTAATGATATAATTACTTCTTTCTCGGATTCCCGCACACAAACGTTATTTTCTCTCGCGATTCATTGCGTTCAGGTATGAATGGGGCATCATTATAAGGGATTCCAGAAAATGTAGTGGCTTTATGTGGCCACTTCTATTATCCCGGCGTGTGAACAACGGATCGCTCAGGTTCCTGTTAATTATTTGATTCGGCGATTTATAACGTTATTTTTCGAACGTCGTGTATACAGGGTACTCGTGACGCGCTGTAATAATAGAATTAAGATACACAGGGTGTTAGAAGTTCGACTGCCTTAATTTTAACAGACGATAGAACACATTAAAATAAACAAAAAAATCTTATGTCATGGGTCCTAAACTCAACCATTTGCCGAAAAATTGCGAGCATAGAATACCATAAAATACAATGTTTATCATTTTTTTGAAATTATTTATGCTTAATTCTAAAAAATAATTAGCGTTGTAATAAATTTAAAATTCGATAAAACTGGTATCGCGAGCAATGTGACAACAGCGCAGCGATTAACACGAGGTACTAAGCTATCCACCAATACACAATTCAGTTGGTATCTGGAATTCGACCGTATCGGAGTGTTTTTTGCGTACCACTATTTCCTTTGTTTGAGGTGTTTTCTAGCGAGTACCCGAATATTGGATTCGAAGGTGTCTTGCGTGCATAGAAAATGGTGGTGGATATTTTAAGCATATGTTGTACTTTGTTTTATACTTTTATTTTATTTATTTAAAAACTGGAAAACAATTGTCTTGAAATTTACTAAATGTTTAACAATAATGGTTGCTTACATTTTTTCCGTCTGTCGCGTGCACACGCGGTATGGATCAGCTGTGTAGCGTTAGGTTAAGCGCTGTTGTTAGGTTGTGATGAAACTCCTCAATATTAATACTCATTGTATTTTGAAAACTGTTAATCTTACGCACCTGTAATATACAATTTTTTTGTTCATTTATGATTATGCTGAAGTAATGGCAGTCAAACTTCTTACACACTGTAGTATTGCACTTATTAAAAAGGCTTTTGTTTTTTCGTTGAAATACTTTTAACCTTCTTAAAAGAAGAAAACTATCAAACTTCACTTGTTAATAAACAAGTTGCAAATTTTTACAATGAAAAAAAAGGAACATGAGTGAACCCACAACGGCTTATTTTTTTTATTTTATTACAAAGTAAACTAGACAAAGGCAGTTTATTTAGGTACATTTAATTTAAATCTAGGTTACAAAATTTACTTTGCGGCGATTTAAGTAGTAACACCAAGTTAAAAAAGAAAATAGGACCCAAATAAAATGAATTTTTATTTCTACCTATATTTTGGTAAATATTTAATAAAAAATAATTTATGAAGTTTTAAATTAATTATAAACTGTTTGGACAATTCCCGTCCTTGACTATCTCATACAATATACAGGGTGTTCCAATTAAAATTTCCCATCTGGAAAATATCAGAATTAAAAAAAAAACTTGCGACACGTCGATTTTCTTTTCAAGGGGCGTAAAATACCCTTAAACTTTAAATAGCACCCTATGTTGAGTGACACCTAATTTTAAAGCTTTTTCAATTCTGCTCACGACGACATACGACTAAATTTTGGTTTTGGATGACAATAAAATCATCACTAACAAAATAAGACAAAAAGTCAATGAATGAAAAAATGTTATTTTATTAAATGTTCAAATTGATTTCCCTCCGCTTCCATACAATAATACAATCTTTGCTCCACACTTCCGAACGACATTTCGAAGCATTTCGGACGTTATCTGACGACATTCTTCAACAATTTCTCGCCATCAAGTATCCCTTGAAAAGAAAATCGACGTGTCTCATGTTTTTATTGTTTTATTTTTAATTCCGATATTTTCCAGGTGGGAAGTTTTAAATGGAACACCCTGTATAAATTGGGCCAAGCCTTTCTAATAATATAAAACGATAAAAGATCCCTAAAATAAATGAATAAATTTTTTAATAATTTTGTTATCTGCGGATGATTGCGGATCAGTTCTAATCAAAACTTTTTCTCCCACTTCGAAAGAGATTGGTTTTATCTTTTTATTTAATTTACAGCTTTAGACTTCAAATTTTCAGCGGCTGAATTCCAAATTTTGTCAAGACTGACGTTTAGTTTTTCAGTTCTCAACAATTTTTCCTAAGTACTCTTCCACTTGCTCTATACAATCTAAGTCTAACGTTATTATCCCCCTCTGAACATCCTCTGGAAAATGTTTTGAATTTCTTTCAATCAAAATATCTTACGGAATTTTCTCTGCCTCTACCATTTTCACCATCATATTTACTATACTTTCTCTCTAAATATAAATCTCGCTGCCTTTTTAACCCCGAATATCTATTCTGAAAAGCTCTTTCGAAGTCCGAAAAACTTTTGAATGTCGATTGTTTAACAGCAACCCAATCTGACGCAAATCCTCTCAAACAATTAACAGCTAAACTAATTTTTCTAATTTCTGGTACACCTGCATCATGTAATAATTTATTTTATTTTTTTTAATGTTTGATCCGAACTTTCTTTTCATTGGTTTTACTACTTTTAGACATTTTGTAACATATTTACTGCCTGCCACTTTATTTCTTATACTATTAACAATGTATAGTAATATCCAACCATTTACATACAAATAAATAAAATACATAAAGTTTAAATACCAATATCAAATTATAGAAGTTCAGAATGTTTATAAAAGCCCTTAATGTAAGGCAATATAATTAAAGTTTATATAATTTTACGTAGTCAATCTCACCGAAGTCCAGTAGTGACGATTACGAACACCTGCTATTTGCTCGATGCTTCAAAGTCGTCCTTACTCCCTGCGTTTTCCTCAGCTATAGCCTTACATCCGCTACAATACTCCGTAGTTCTTCCTGCTAATCACTCTAGCCTTATAAAATGAATTAATCTCGGTCGTAGGTTTTCAGGTGGATG